GTGTATGATGAAATTATTATAATCAATGATGCCTGATTAAAGCTTCTAATGAAATATCAGCATTGGTCTAATACAAACATAGACAGGCGGAGAACATGTGTCGGGCTAAAAGCGTGCAGTTCTAATTGAAAATCTTCCATTAAAATAAAACATGACATGCTTTACATGTAAGTTGAAGCAGTTTTCCTGTTTGTATTTGGCTGTCATGATATGAGCAAGTATAATAATTTTTTCTTTTTTTTTCTTTCTTTTTTTTTTTTTTTACATTTTTTTGGTGTTTTTTAAAACAATTTGCAGTTACTTTTATATATATATATAATACAAATGGCTATTCAGTCATTGACATTGTTTGATCATAAAATAAACTATATTTACTGTTTCATATCTGCTAAAAATCTCTATTTTTCCTTCTTTCCTTTTTTGTTTTTGTTTTTGTTTTTTTACAGATATTTGTCATTAGTTTAAAGAAAAAGATTTTTTTTTAAAGAAAACAGATTTTCCAATTTTCTGAGATAATATAGGGTTAGGGTTACTGATAGTGAAACCACATATACATTTATTAATATACTGAACATATGATCCACTTTAAAAATCATGTTATTTAGGAACTGTAAACTTGTAAACTAGTTACCCTTTTCCCTCCATTTTTGAGCATTACAGTATTAATTTTTTTAAACATTATTTTAAGTATATTTTCAGGAAATTTGTGGCTATATTTTTTTCTGATTTTTTTTGGGCCTTTTTTTTGATAGTGCAGTGACAGAGAGAGACAGGAAAGTGGGGGAGAAGAATGGTGGAAGGACCTGTGGAAAAGGGCCATGAGCGGGATTCGAACTCATGACCTCCACATCGCAGACTGTAGCCCCTATACATGGGACACCAGCTCAACCAGGTGAGGAAATGTTTTAGAGTGAACATAAAAATCTCTCCTGGTAAAAGAATTAATATTGAAAAGATGTCAATGAAATATTATTGTCTCAATACACTTTTTTGTTTCACTAATTTTTACTTTCGAAGGGTTGGACAGTCTGTTCTCCTGAACTCATCGTCTCAGACTTTTTGTCCTGATAATTTTCATAGTTTTTTGTGGTTAATTGTTTGTCCTGTTCTCTCCCAGTATAGAATATCTGATGATGTAGCAGGTGTAAGTGTGGTTTCTTATACAAACTTGAGTGTGGATCAAGTGCCGGCCTGCAGACGATTGGCTCTTGGATGATTAAAGATCACAAGAAAAGGAGCTGAGATGGTGTTGCTGTGATGTGAGGAATCACTCATCTCACTCCTCCCAACCAGCAACAGTCTTCTTCAATCTGTTCACTTGCAGCTTTTGCCATACAGATGATTTCATTGGTAGGAATTTGTAGAGGTGTGAAGATATTTCTTTCGTCTTTGCTTTCTCCTCTCTATTTTAAAGGTAATATATTGTATTTTGGTTTATTGATTTTGGTTAGGGGCTGCAAGGTGGCGCGGTGGTTAGCACCGTTGCTTCACAGCAAGAAGGTCATCAGTTAGCATACCAGTGAGGACACCCGGGATCTTTCTGCGTGGAGTTTACATGTTCTACCTGTGCTGTGTGGGTTCTCTCTGGGTTCTCCGGCTTCCTCCCACAAGGTCCAAAAACATGTTGAGGTTAATTGGTGATTCTAAACTGTCTGTAGGTGTGAATGTGAGTGTGACTGGTGACCTGTCCAGTGTCCCCTGCCTTCGCCAGCTGGGATAGACTCCAGCTCCCTGCGACCCTAGTGAGGATTAAGCGGCGTATAGATAGCGGATGGATGGAGTTGTGTGATTTGAGGACATCATTTCTTTTTGTAGGAACAGTTTTAAGGAGATCAAGTCTGAGATCGAGTATGTCAGAAAAGCCAAATATTTCTGTCCCTACTTTTTAACAAGATTAAGTTGCACAAGACAAACACTGAGGAGGCCACAGAAGATGTTGCAGAAGAACAAGAGACAGATCATTGTAATTTCTGGAAAGCATCTATTTTGATGTCCCATATGGACACTTCCTGCTGGAAATCAAGCCACGTACATGAAGCAGTTCTCGTATAGTATAAACTATAGCAAGCACTGTTCAATTTATAAAACTAAGGTGTAAAGCATTCCATGTAAATACTGCATGTACAGACAGGTGACAAATTAAAGGAAAAGCCAACATAAAGTGTCCTTGTAAAGTGCTGGACCAGAACAGCTTTCTGTTGATTCTCCAAAGTCTCTGGAGCTCTACTGGAGGGATGAACACCATTCCTCCAGAAGGTACCTCCTCACGTGGTGTTTTGGGGATGGTGGTGTGGAGTTCCACCAAAATCTCAGGTAAGTGTTTAACTTGGGTTGAGATCTGATGACTATGAAAATTGTAGCATATGATTCTCAATTTCCATCGTCCCCTTTAGTGACCCTTGATGCCTTGAGGATGGGTATGTTGTCATCCTGGAAGGTACCACTTCCATCACGATAGAAATGTTTCATACCAGGACAAAGGTGATCACTCAGAACAAGTCTGTATTGATTTGCAGTGAGCCTTCCGTCTGAGAGGACACGTGGATCCCAACGATGCCAGCAAAATGCCCAACAGAACCGCCTGATCTCCTCAAGTAGAGGTCAAAGGTTTTGGCTTTTCCATGAATTTGTCATCTGTATCTGGTAATGGATGCATCTTCGTTTTACCTTCCAAAACACTATATGGCACATAAACTGCTCTGTAGTGGATTATATTTAAATGATTGGTTGGCCTTTATCCAACCAATCAGCGCTACAGCAGATGCAGATCTGTTTACAGATGTCCAGCTGAATGTTATCAACCAACATTAATATTCATAAAAATGTATTTCTGAGGTCATAAACTCTTCGTGCTCACAAACCCTCTGACATTCTAGTGGAGATTAAAAAAATGAATGAATAAATAAATAAAACTTTTAAGATTGAAGGTGAGCCAGGTTTTTAGATTACTGCTTTTACTTTGGAGAAGACTACCAGACTCTGCAGGCTACAGTCATAAGCAGGCAGGAGTGGATGCAGGAGTATCAGCGCCACTGTGTGGCCACAGCAGGAAATGACAAGTTATTAAGAAACCTGTTGTATGTTTAATAAAACTAATGGTGAAATAAATGTTATTGCAATGCAAACACATCAGCCAAGTGATTTATTGATTTCATGCTGTTTGTTACTACTTTATGCTCAAAAATTATTTCCAAAAGGCTTGTTTTTTTTATAAAATTAAAACAGCATTAAATACTAATTTAAAAGAAAAACAACTTTCTAAGAATAGTTTTCATGATAACTGCTCTAAAACTAATCAGAAGTATTATCTAATTACTTAAAATGTTTGTATTTATTTTTTGAAGCAGTGTCCAAAAAGCAACTTTTTTTTCTACAGTCCAAATTTGTGGGAAAACAACATGCTGACTCACTGAAATAATTGTTCCAAGATCACTTTTGTCCATTTTGCCTTTGTTTGACACCTGACAAAGGAGAAAAACAGGAATTGCTGGGAAAACCGTTCAACAAAGCTCCTCATTGTGGGCAATCATCTGGTTTGTGTCTGAACCAAACTAAGGAGCCTGACAGTTGTTTTTCTGTAGCCAAAATTACAAGTTTGTTACTCGAGAGGATTTTTGCAGTCTGTGCAAGAAACAACAAGAAAAGCAGCAACTTAAGGATCTTAAGGGACAAACATGCAATAAATGTTGTAGAAACAGAAATAAGTGTAGTAAAATTGCAATGAGGAGAAGCAGGATTAAGTAAATGGAGGTCAAACACACAAAAGATGTGGATCAGGGACACTGAAGCACGTCCAGGTGGCCTGAAGAACTGGTACGACTGGTAAGACACAAACACAATTAGAATGACTGCAGACAACATCACAAAGGCTCGCATTTACTTCTTGCATGTCTGTTGGATTAAGACGTTGCTTCAGTCTGATATATGCTCTCTGGGACAGATTAGGTGAAGTATAGCTTTGCTTCTTCATTCTGTGACACAGTTCCACAAAAAAGTGTTGTGAAGACACCTTCTCTTTAAAGAAAAGAGAACACCCACTCACACCTGACTGTCATCCCACTGAATGACTCACCTGACTTCGCCTTCAAATTAACTGCTAATCCTAAAAGTTGACAAACTTTTGCCTCTCTAATGTGTAGTCATACTGGATTTTCCTCAACAAATACATGATCAGGTATTATTACAGTTTTTTTTTAAAGTGGGTTCTCTTTATGTACTGTTAGGACTTGCTGATGGACCAATCTGTTGATGGTTTAGGTCATGTTTATGCAGAAATACAGCAAATGCAACTAAGCTTTCAAGCACTATGTGGTGGGTAGAAAAGCGCTCTGGAATGGCTCGTCTTTACGTCAGGATGTTGTAGGGTGTCCCACATGTAGTATCGGTTGTTGTCCACCAACATATACTAGACCAGGGGTGTCGAACTCTGGTCCTCGAGGGCCGTAATCCTGCATGTTCTAGATGTTTCTCTCTTCCAACACACCTGATTCAAATGATCAGCTCATCATCAAGTTCTGCAGAAGCCTGATAACGATCCTGATCATTTGAATCAGGTGTGTTGGAAGAGGGAAGCATCTAAAACTTTCAAGACTGCGGCCCTCGAGGACCAGGATTCGACACCCCTGTACTAGACTGTATAAAACCATTCACTGTTGTGCCCCATGTCTTTTAAATTGACTGATTTTCGTGCCAACATCATGTAATCTGAGCCCAGCGGCACTCAACTTGAACCTAACCTTAAGCTAAGCCGATTCCTGTAAACAGTTTTATGTTCCTACAACATGAGAAAAGTGGAAAAACACTGGCTGAGTCCCCTCTCCAACAAAGATCCAGACCCAGAGTACCAGAATGACATCTAACAATATAACTGAAAGGAAAAAGTATATAAAGATAAGCCTAAATGACTCAGTAGCCACATTGTATGATATCATACAATTATATCTTAATATTGTTAACACAACCTGCAGTTCAGCTCCAAATCAAACAACCCAACCACATCATACTCAACAGAATTCATTTAATTATAAAGGATAATTAAGTTAAAATACAATACGATTACATATAAACACTGTAATGGTTCTAATGTACAATTACAAAGGATTTATTCATGACACTAAAAACATCGTACAAAATCATTAGAGCATGAGTTAAACCACCAGGTTCAACCGCTTAAGGCATCTGATTGGTTGTGACGTCTCCTTCAGTGTTGTAGTTACGGATGATGAGGAAGAACGAGGCCCGCTGATCTGACAGCAGTCTTAACAGGATCAACAAAAAAAAAGCAGCCATCAAATCCAACGTCGCATTGTTCAGTCATCAAGCCATTATTAAGCCATTCGTAGATAAACAAGAAGAATGTGGTTAGTTATGTGTAAAAGCAGACAGGCGTGAGTTTACTGTGAGGTGCTGTGACGTAGCTACCAGAGGTGGAAGGAAACAGTGTTTGGGGCCTGGAACTGTCAAAACTGGGACATCGGTATCACAGAAGATGTGAGGGACAAATAAAAAGTGCACACAAATTAATAGATAGTATAGCTTGTGCTGAAAAATTAACAGAGTAGTAACTTTTCATATTATGTTTGCACAAAATTCAAAGTGTATATGAATATAATCCCCAAAAAACTACAATAAAGTAGCTTTTTAAAAAATGCATGTAAACATTTCTACAGTTAAAAACTAACTTTGATATGAGTCTGCGACTTTTACAGAACAGCAGCCACTGTGGTCACTTGTGACAGCTACAGATAAATGTAAAATGTAGTATAGAATAACTAGAAAAGAGTCAAAGTCACTCAACTATAGCATCCCTAGCTGCCATAGCAAAAAGCGTCAAAATCCGTGACTATGCTGACTTGAGAAAAGGTGCATTTAAGTCAACTTTTAAATTCATTAAAAGATACGTTATCATTCAAAAGTTAGTCTCCCTTTCAGTGCATGCTAAAACGTTACTATCATTTGATTCCTGCAAGCAAATTATTAATAAAAGGGCATAACGTAGTTATTAATAATTACAATTTATTGATTTGTGTGCACATTTGTTGTTTTTTTTTTTTTTGTTCCCATGATGACACCAACAGGAGTCTGTACAAACTTGACTGTGTTCTTTCGTTCAACGATCTCTTGTATCAGTTGTTAGTTTCCTAAAGAGAAAACGTGAAGTGAAAAAATGTGATTATGTAATTTAATACATGTCATTTTGCTTTGCTATAGTGCCTCCTTCTGGCGGCTGTCTTTGGCTCCAACAACAACAAGTTTTCTACTAATCTAACATCACTTCTGGTAGCTACATTTGGAAGGAACTAAGATGAAAGCACCTGCTATTTACTCCGAGACACAAAGACTCTTAGCGAAGCAGCCCTAGGTGAGCGTGAGTCATAAAATCCTCTCAGGTGTCTTCTGGTTAGAGTTGCGCAGGTGGAAAGAATGTGCGCTATGCTTGGCGTGAGCAGAACTGGTTGGTCGGGAATGTCAGATCGCAGCTTTCTGCTCAAAGCAGCCTCTTCCAGTCAAGTGATCCTCAGGAGTGGAGCCAGACATGTAAACTGCCAGTCTGAAAGTGCATTCAGTAGTCAAACAAAGGAAGACCAGACTGTAGTCAAAGTTTGGTCTCTGCATGTCAGTTACATAGTCAACAATTTAGATGCTTCATTTGACCATAATAAATGGAATTTTAAATCACATTTGAATCGGTTATGGTATTAGCTCGCAGCGTATGTTCATATTTGGATTCCGGTGATTCTGACTTTGTTTTCAGGGAGTGTTTTTAGTCCTTTCTTCCTACGCGTCACAGCCCGGCTGATGTGCTAATAACGGTTGGCATCGTCATAGGAGGTCAAGTCCTGGTCAAAATAATCCTCCAGCGTCCACTGCAGGGTCTCGAACGTGGGCCGGTCCTGGTCGTTGTCCTTCCAACAGTTCATCATGATGTCATACAAGACTTTGGGGCAGTTGGGGGGACTCGGCATCCTGTAGCCCTGAGGAACCTTCTGCACCACCTGATAGTTTGACATTGCTGCAAGAATCACAGACAGGACGTGAGCTCTGATCTAACAGAGAAATATTCTGCTCACAGTTGTTATGAGACTTTAGAATGATTTGCATAAGACTTACCTGGATACGGCATCTTGCCGAATGTCATGATCTCATACAGCAAAATTCCGAAAGACCAAACATCAGATTTGATGGAAAATTTGTTACTGTTGATGGCCTCCGGTGCTGTCCACTTCACAGGGAATTTACCTCCTTCTTTGGCTTCATATACGTCTTCATTTTCTTTCTAGAAATGAAACCAGGTATTCAATAGAGATTTTAAGTTGCAATTGATCAGCGTTGGTGTAAAGAATCACACTTTGGACAAACAGGCATGACAAGATACTACCTGACGGGAAACTAATACTGTGGATAATTTATTAGACTCTATAAAACGATGCCCGTAAATGCAGCTAGCGTGTACTGTATAATTAGCAGAGAATGCAGGCTGAATCAGTTTCAGTTCAAGGCCTTACAAACATGTTTTAAATACATGACTTTTCACTGAGCGCAACTACGACACTTGTTAAACAATGTATACGAAACCATTTTAAATATCAAACCCACCATGAAGACCCTGGCAAGGCCAAAGTCAGCCACCTTGCAGACGTTGTTGTCGCCCACCAGGACGTTCCTGGCTGCCAGGTCTCTGTGAATGTAGTTCTGCAACTCCAGGAAAGCCATGCCTGACGCCACCTGGGCAGCCATCTCAATTTGGTCAGAGATTCGCAATGTGCTGCCTTTATCTTCTAAAATCCAATTAAAAAAGCACATGATGAGTCACAGTTCTACATGTTGGAAGTTTCCTCGGCAGTAAAGGAGGAAATAATTTAACCATTCAGTTAAACCTGGAGTCAGGATGTTAACAAATAATTGTAGATTTGCTTTGGTTGTGCCACAACATGAAGCCTCCCATAGAATAATGTGTTTGCTGACCACCCATATGGGCCACATAAAACATTGAAGGAGTGTACCTCACTACCATCTAAGAAGGAGAAAAGTCCGCCTCTGTTTGACTCTACTGACCAGCCGTCAAGTTTATGAACATAGCACATGAAGTTGAGAAGATTCCTCTGAACTGCTGTCTGGTTTGTTATTTATTTGCTACTGTAGGGTCACAGAAAGTAAAGCTAAGATCTTTACATGCTTGCACAGCCCTGGTGCTGATTATCAGACAGCAGAGAGCAGCACCAGGACCTGCAGGATTCCACTTACATATTATTAACAATCAGCCAACAATTATTTAAGAAGACAGTTTAAAATTAGAAGTTAGATTTAACCGCAAAATAACAAACAAATTGCTCTCTTAAGTAACTCATGCACAAGCTAAATAATGTTGGAGATCATTGTAGATAATTAGTTATTGATTCTGTGATCTGGCCAAAATATAAAACACTATTATAGATGACTTTGCTGATGAGGAGCACCACTCTGTTATTTAGAGGTTTGACTTGTCAATTTAAAATACCAACAGGGTAGATATTTGCAGACAGTTAACACGAGCAAGAGCTTTTACAGAAAGCTTTCAGACACTGAACAGTAGTCAGAATCAAAAATCTGAATTTCACTAGAAAACTGATGTATAGCACATTTTATCCTCTAACAATGAATGAGCTGTACCTTTTACATCCACCCACACAAGTGTTTTCACCTAATTTGCCCCACTAGACCTCACCCTAACCGGTCAAGGCAGGTGAGGTCTACTGGGAGTTTCTTCCTAAAAAAAAGGGAGTTTTGTCGTCCTATTGTTGCCAAACGGTTGCTCAGAGGGATTTATTGGGTTTCTCTCTCTAATATAATAATAAAAGTGCTGAACTTAAAATGAGACGAGATGCCTTGTTTTGCAAATTAGTGCCATTACAAAAACCTGAGTTGACTTCCTGAGGACTGAGCTGCTGTGACAGATTCACCGCAGGGAATACAGACTGCATCTACATCTGACTCATCTTTTGTGAGTCACAGTTTTAAAGTTGACTTTCCAAAAGAAACCAAATAAAAATGGCTGGAAAGTTCAGAATATTTGTTACACTTCATGCTTGTGTGACTTTGCTACTGCAACAGCTCATGGCTAGGACATGTTCAGAGTATGTGGTGGATTTATGGTAGATTTGGGTCACTACGCAGATGGTTTCAGGGCTGCAGACATCAATTCCACGTGAGCGCTTCTGGGAGTGACCAGCACTGTCTGAAAGTGACGCTACATCTCTCACAGTGCAGCAAAGCATTGTGTGTCTACGAGGTGATCACAACGACGAGTGCGCAAGGTCGGGTATGAAGTAGATGGAAGCTCTTTAGTGCAAATACATATCAACATCAGGGTCACCATCTTCCTAATAGTACTAGTTTCTCTACTTTGTGACGTCAGATTGTGGAGCTGAACGTCATGTACAAGATGCAACACGTCATTAGAAGGAACTGGAGAGAATGCTGTTTCATTCTGGCAGGCTGACTGGAACACAGCCTTGAAACTGGCCTGATTAAGACCAGGCTAATCTGAGGAGTTACAGTTAAATGGTGACAAATGTGATATCAAATGTCATAAAACATCAAATTTCCTGATTAACCCATGTAGTCCTTGCTTCACTGGTAAAGCAATAGTGATCCAACATAGCTAAACACCTGTAACATCATTCTCTCTCCTTCCTTGCCAACATTTTGGTACCATTGAAAGCATGCCAAATAAGCAGTTCCTGTTTGCAACATGGCCATGAATGGACAGATAACTCTCACCGGACTACAGAAATACCAAAAGAAATTCCCCATTTCATGACTCAAGGGCAAGTCCTACAGTTAAAATGAGCATTTATCTGTGCTCCTATATGGACTCATTCAATTCAGTTCAGTTTTATTTATATAGCACCAATTCACAACAAATGTCATCTCATAGCACCTCACATAGTAAAAACACTTATTTTCAAACAGAGAACGGAAAATCCAGCGATCCAAAGCTGCCTGGATTCCCTATGAGCAAGCAGTCAGTGACAGTGGGAAGGAACAAAAAAAAAAAACTTTTAACAGGAAGGGGGAAAAAAAACAACTTCAGACAGAACCAGGCTCAGGGAAGGCGGCCATCTGCTTTGACTGGTTGGGGTAAGAGTGGAGACGAGGAGGGTGAAGCACAGCAGGACACTTATGGACATTTACTAGCAGCCCAAAGTCAGGAACAAGAAATCAACTTGGTGGCGTCTATGTACGGGAAACCTGCTTGACTTAGGCTGCATTCCAAATTGCATGCTTTATCTTTACCTGAAGTAGGTACTGCTGCCTCACAAAGTACACAATGTTTTTTTTTTTTGCAGTACGCATACAACTGGAACATCCTGCTTGGTCATAATGTGCCTTAAACTTTGACCGTCGCAGTCTATAGTGTGAACTGAGCGGTTATCTGTCTGTGCGCTCTGACACTTATGTATGCTTGTGCATGACGTGTGTGACACAGCAGCGCAGGAGATTGTGGGTCAGTATTGTCAGAAAACAAAATCGCTCTGGTATTTTTGACATACTACATTTCACATGCTGTGTACTGGGACATACCAAATCGTTTTCTGGCACACAACATAGTATGGAAGTATGGATATCAGAACGCACCCTTACTGAAGAGAAAGTAGACACTTGTCTTGGTTATACAAGGATCACATATAGCAGCAACCCACACACCCTAGTTTCCCACACAATCCCCTCCTTTCCAGCTCTACAGAACACATGCAGACTGAAGTGGTATATTCCCACGAGGGTAAAGAGCTGACATGCTGTTCAGCATCGTAGACAGAATCCTCTTAGAGCATCTCAGGGCAAAAACATCCCCCTCAGAATAAAACCACTGCTTCTTTGTACTGAAAGGTGCCAGATAAATGAGTTCAGGCATCTGACCTTAACACCACCTGGATGACTCCCTAGAAAAGCATTCCAAGCACATTCATACCAAAGGGCACTCCCAGGTTACATTTGAGGAATTATCTCTCCCTCTTGGTCTGGAAATGCCCTCAGATCTCCCAGGAGGAGCTGCAGGAAGCGGCTAAATATCAGGACATCCAGGCTACTTTGCTCAGACTGCTGCCTTTGCAACTTGACTACGTGTAAGTAGCAGCAGGTAATGTTTGTAGAGGACATTTAGGATAATGACATCTCTCGAAAGCGAGAGTCACATTGAATGTAAAAGAATGTTTACCGAATCTGTGTGGTGTTATTTATGGCTCTGAGGAGTGCAGTTTTTGACACAAATTGCAGCGATCAGGCACTCAGGGTTTTAAAGTACCTTAACTACCTTCCTGAGCTGTGTGTCACAGCCCCCCAGCTCAAACCGCTGACCCCGTTGTTTTCAGACCACAAGCATGCAAGTTTCTTTCACCTCACACAGTATCTTTACCTTGTTTGGCCCACCTGCCAGCTTGAAAACCTCAAATCTATCCTGCTATCTTGCCCAATTAAAGGCACAATACAAAATAAAATTAAATGACCTTGAAAATAAAATAGTGTATTCCACTGAGCACAGCTTTTAACCTGGGATTAGTAAATCAAATTAAGCATTTTGACACTGAAAAACACATAAATCTCAGATGAGTCATGCTAATCTGGTGTAAACGAAGGCAAGTGAAATCATTTCCTTCATCAACATGATCTCAGTCTATCGTGCCATACTGGCTTGGTGCCAGTAGATAAAACCAGGTAGAAATTATTGTATACTTGTCTGTTTGTAGCAACGCAGAATGAGCCAATCTTAACTAATCAGTGAGGTATAAGTCAGACTTTGAGCTCCATTATTCATCTTTCATTTACACTTTTTAGCAGAACTATTAAGCTACAACAGGCACTGACATCTAAAACAAGATAACACTGTCAAAATAGGCAAGACTGAGAACCTGAAATTAATTTGATAGACAAAAAATATATATATATCTAAAGGCTGCTGCCATAAGTTCTGATATTAGCAGAAACTACGTGCAAAAAAATTGTACATAGCATCTAAATCGGTTGTTCTGTTCAGGCATAAGTCTGTATCACAGCCTGTCACAGGTGGGGATACTGGTTTCAAAGGGCAGCTGTGCTCTGACCACGTCATCATAAAGCAGCTAATAAACACGAAATGAAAAGCGTGGCCGTCTTACTCTGGAGGTATTCCAGCAGGCTGCCGTGGGTCATGAGCTCCGTGATGATGTAGATTGGCTCCTCCATGGTGCAGACGGCGTACAGCTGGATCAGCTTGGGGTGCCGCAGCCTCTTCATAATCTGAGCCTCTCTCAGGAAGTCCTCAGTGTCCATCGAACCTGAAAAAGTTGTGCAACGATTGGATTGTTTCTTTGGTGATACAAAGAATGTACCATTTAGTGCATAGGCTCCAAGGCTGGTCCAGATGTGTGTTTTTGTTTGTATTGGTCTGGTTAGCCATCTGCTAACTATAAAGTTCATTCTCTGAATATGGAAATCTTTTGTCAGATATGTAACACAGACTTTAACTTAATTTTAAATGTGACAAGTAAGCCTTTCATAATTATAAGTAGCGACTGGCAGGAGTTCAGTAAACCAAAGAGTGGACATTTTTAAAAAGATGCTATAATGCAAGTTTCTATACAAACGTAGTGGAAATTTAAAATTTAAAAAAATCCTTCACTTTCCCTTATATGATAAAATAAAGTTCTATACCAAGGACATGTGATGACACCGGAGCCAACTCCATGACAACTGAGTAAACTCCAGTGGCTTTCAAGTGGATCTTGGGTTGAGATTTCTTTTGCTTTTAAGTTAAAGAATCAACTTTAACGCTCACTTTTCTTTTGTAGGGTCTTTGGCTTCTCATACTAAACATGCATCCCAAAACCCAGAAGGGATCCCTGTCAACTGCTGCTTTATTCAACTCACACATTTTTTTTTCTATTATACTTAGATGCATGTAATTTCATTTCTCCAAGTCAAATATTCAGATTGAAAATGGATTTTAACACACACATGATCAGTTTGATCAGCTTTGAGCTTTTTCTTTTTTATATTTGTTGTATTTTTGGATTAGCATTATACAAATTAAAGTGAATATTTTTGTGTACCAGGTTTGAGGGTCTTCACTGCAACGGCAGTGGTGCCATTCCACAGGCCCTCAAACACTTCACCGAACTGTCCAGCTCCCAGCTTTGTCAGCAGCTTGATGGAGTTGCGATCAATCTCCCATTGGTCCACTGTGTTGTAGGACAAACCGTGGGTCTGCGGAGCCTCCATCTGCACGGACAGGAAGGGGAAAATGGCCGCCAATTTTGGACTTCAGAAAACAAACAGGATGTGTTCAGTTCATGTGGTGATGTAGAGTCTGTTTTACCTTTACGCATGGCTCACCCAGACGCACACAGAGGCCATCCGCCTGTTTGGAGTAATACTCCACCAACTCCTTCAGTGTTTCAAAGGTTCTGTTCCTCGACACGAAGTAGTGACCATTGTCCAGCTTTTTCAGCTTGTAATGCTTCACCCTTCCACTGTCCAGCACTGGAAGGTAAACAAACATGCAACAGTAAACCAAAGAGTCAAGACCCGACAGTAGGCTGTAAACCATCCAGTTAAACACTAATAGAACAAGCACAAGAGATTCAAACAGGCTTGATGTGCAAACAAGTTTCCATTTCTGTCTTCTATATTTTTATTCTTCCTTTGATTTGCTTTGATTGTCATAATGTCATGTAGTCATGAGAAAAGTGTGTTTAACTGCGGTTTGAAGCAGCATTCATTGATTTTATCCACTGGGTGAAATGTAGCACAACATTTCTCTTGTCAGTAAATTCTTATAAATGTGTTAGCACAATGTTTTTACATCCAGTAGACACAGAGCAACATGAGCGTTCATTTGAAGTCAAGTTTCTTGACACTTAATAAATGTAAATCGAGTATTCAGTCTTCTATTAGCTCCAGTTTTGGTCCCCACCAACACCTTTGAAAAGATATTGAGCTTTTAACTGAGTAAATGCTACACAAAATGAATTAGCGAACTGCTAGGTGTTTGTGCGTATTTCATTTCAGGCAGGTAGTGTACAGTGCCTTAATTAGAGTTTTTCCAGTGAAACTAATGGAAATGAGGTTGATAGGAGCAGTTAGACAATAAAGCTGCAGATTTTGAAATCAAAACAAAGAGCTGAAAGGCGCTAAAATGGAAACGGCAGAGTGAGGTTGTCTGCAAGTTCATCACAACAAGCTACAACTGTCACATATCACAGTCATTTAGTCTATTGTTAAATGAAAACACTGATTAGTTCATCTTTAAAGTTAAGGAGTTGACTATGAATGCTCATTACTATCGATTAACGGACCTACCACTCTACTTTGTGTGAAAAATCAGCAGGTTCAATGTTTTTATGTCATTTCTTGATATAAACTAAACATCTGTCAGCATTTCCTGAACTATCTGTGTACATATCAGGAATTATTGCTGCATCAATACAGATTCAGACATTACAGCTGAATATTGTTCAATATTAGAAAATGAATATTGACTCAATGAACCTGTTTTCACTGACAGACATGACTCATTCACTCAAAAACACACTCTGAGTGAAGCAACCAGGGGATAGAGCTGTGAAATAATTTAGGTCATCAGATGACTTTAATGAATGAACACGGAAAGAATTCAGCCACAGTGGAAAGAGCAAGGCCGGAATGAGATGATAGAACAGGACGGAGAGAGATAAAGCTATCGCGCTGCTTTTATGGGAGCACAGACCTCTGTTTGTTTGCCTTGATGACCTTCAAACCATCAATCATTCGAAATCAACTGAGGGAAAGAATAAGCTGCGGAACAATGCATGGGCTGTTGGGAAATGTGTGTTCTGTGGCAGAGAAGTACATGAATAGCAACATGTTACCTAGCAAGACTCAATCTAAAAAAATTATATTAATAGTGTGGAACGACAAGTAAAATCTGCCGGCAGTTTGACTGCTTCAGGAGAAAAATGAGCTGGTTAACACTGGGACATTAAAAAAAGCCTTTTTTTCCATCCTATTAATGTTTAAACAAGATTATATTGCCAATTTATGGCAAATAGTGGCCAATAACTAAATTTATTGTGATCGTACTTTACCTGAGATTGCCAAAACAAGGCCATTAAGTCATAAAGTCATAAAGCAGGCTGCTGACATGAGCATGTCAGCCAATGTGACCAGATCAAAGAAGACTCGCAGCTTAGGTCCCGCGTAAATTTGCCTATTTTATTTATTTGTATTGTTTATTCAAAGGTGCCCTGTTGACTTCTGTCTTATAGACAAACAAAAATGATAAGGAAAAACAAAAATGCACATCCTTCCAGGTGTAACACTTGCAAAGGCAGTTTTTCTGAGTCTCTCCTATCTTACAACACAGTGCTCCACATTTACTGTCCACCATTTTATTTGATTGTTTGAACTGTTAGTGTGCAAATGTAGCAACTATATAGGGCCTTAAAAATTGTACAATAGTAACGCATAAAGTACAATAGATGTCAGATATGCCGTAAAACGATGATTATTGAGTTTCCAAAAGTTCACTGCTTCATAAGGAGCAGTGAACAGAGTGAATTCTGACACGGACCGTCTTTACTTGTGAGTTCTCATCCTCTTTAGTCCTGTTTCTTTACTTTTATTGGTATTTGAAGCAAACTTTTGAAATATTGCGAAAAAAAGAAAATGTAAATTAGTCTTGTTTCCATCAACTCGCTGCCTGTTGTCATCAGAAGATGGTCGTACTGATAACACATGGCTGAAATAAAAAGAGGAGAAAAAGCCAAAAACAAAACCATGACTGCGTCCTTAATTTTCCTTTTTTTTTTACTTCCAGGATGTTCTACAGTTGCCCTCACAAAGGAAGTACTGTTGCAGTTGCAAGTGTGAAAAGAGCTGTCCTCTGTTTTTGCACTGTCAGCGGCTTAAAACTTGATTATAGGATTGCGGGTCTGAAAAGCATGTCGGCTCACATGCTTCAAAATCCAACTGGATGCAGTAAGACATGCAGGTATTTTGGTATGCTAGATTTGACAAACCATGTATTGGGACACGCTAAATATTTGGAAAGTTTTTAATCTTCTTCAGTGACGGCTGGTATCAGCCATGTTTCGTGCTGCCCAAATGAAAAAAGACACTTATTACAGGCACTCGCTCATTTTATCAATTTTTTAAGGAGGGTTTTTTTTTTCTCCCTTTTTCATTTCCTTTTTCTACTCTACATACTTCAAAATGTATAGTAAAAGCATTATGGAAACACAACTATCACCTTTTTATTTTTCAAAAGCTCATCCACAGAATAGAACAGAATTTATTTTATTGTCATTGCAAATTTGTAATGAAATTTGTCAATGATCTCTTTGTACATAAGAAATAAACCACAAAGTGTATAAATAGGTGGGAGGAATTGCTACTTGGTAATCAGGTTCAGACAATTAGTGTCAGGGTGTGTCAGAGTTCAGTTCTATAAGAGCAATACGCAGTTAAAATTTTACAGGACACTGCAGCAAGCATTATAGGAGGAACAGCCTTTTCCACTTTCAGTTATGAACTGACTTAGTAGTGAATACAGTCAAGTCCTTAAATTTGGCTGCTAAATCTAAGAAAAGTGAGATCTATTGCTTGTAAAGTCAATATTTCGTTTGTAAAAAGACTGTCAATTCATTTATTTGTTCATTTTATTCTATCTTTATGTTAATTTTCATTAGCTGTGTATATATATATAACAAAAAAAAGGTCCAAAATTTTCTCATAGGTTTCAGAAAAGGATATATTGGAATCCTGAGTTGCTGCTAGTTCTTATTTGGCTTACCCGACAGTGAGAGGTCTCCTCTCTGACTTTCACAGTTTCTGATGAGGAAGGAACCCTGGAGGTTCCCTTCGGCCAGCAGCATTTTTTCGGCATCCAGCCTCTTCGTGTCGGGAAAATACCATCTGTAGATCAGAATGTGAGCAAACATTTGTCCGTGTTAGGCATGTTGCAGGTTTGGGCTGGAAAGCACTTTCAAAAGATCAAACTGCAAACATGAATCTCTTCTTGTCCTGAATATACTCGTATCATTACTTTCAATAAATAGGCTGTTTGAATCAAACCAAGCTGGACTACCATGAATTCAGATGGAGGCACTTAGTTCATGGGAACATAATGGCTTGCAAATTGATGAGGTAATATTATATGCATCTGTGAAACACAATGTAACACCTGCAGAAAAAACAACAACTTAAAATCATGTCAAAGCCCTATTTGCACATGACTAGCTTTCAGACCTCATATAATGCATAAATTACCACCCGTGTCTGCATTTTGTGTGACATATATACATGGGATGAACACAGATATGATATTAAAAAGCTGCCACACAACTCCTGAGCCTGTTATAATGGAGTAAAATGCTCTTTACTACTCTTTGCTGCTATGCTTGTCATCCATCCAAGCATTCGTTCTTAAAGATCGGAGTTCGCCCTTTCTGTGAATGTGTCTACATGCAGTGTGGCAAAATAAGCCACACTGCAAAAATGCAATCCGACTTTAACCTTTAATTGCCAATACAGTCTACATAATTCTTAATTGGGAACAAGGCAGAGGAAACACGCAGAGAAAACAAAACAAAAAAAAAATGCTAATTTGCACAGGACTAATATTATCACAGGACCTCTGGGTTTTGCAAAGTATGGCAGGTAATTTGTAGTGAACTTTTCACTTTACTAATTACAGACAATGAAGATTCGCAGGGGATTAAGATCACAGACAACCTTAGTAATTATTACAAATTGCTAGACATCCCCAGGCGGCACTACTTCCGTGCGAATAGAGTTTTACTCTGGTGATATTCTATATATTTTTACTGTCCATTAATTCAAGAAAAGATCAAATGAGGGCCGAACAATGAATTGATTTTACTTCAAAACTGGGATTTGAAACAATCCTATCAGCAAATCACAAACGCTATTATTTAGGATATACACTATGAAGCACATCTGGCCCAGGGTTTATGAACTATCACACAAATCAAATCACAATTTGCAATACGTCAGACTGAAATTAAATACTTTATCAAAATCATTCTGTCATAGATCAAACCCAATAATCTCTCCTACAGGCCTGATATATCTTTTTCCTCTGACCCACATAACTCCGAAAACTATTTAAAACACACCAATGAGCCACACTGTTGCATTAGGTGACCCGTTTCCTCCTCGTCATGAACAAACACACACACTCACACACTCTGTAGTTTATTTTGAGTCAGTTCAATTCACACCCTCCTGCTGCTGGAAATACAAACAAGAGCGGATCAAACCCCTGCTGAAAATAGCCTCCATCAAATCCACTGTTTCTCCACTGTTTGATTTGCTGAAAACTATAGAGTCCAGCTGTTTCAGGAGGTTATTTAGTCTTTTCAACAAGAAGAAAAAGGGTATATCCACAATATGTTTTTAAAGATTTCCACTGGTTCCCACAGGAACCACATGGAGTTGAGAGCCACAGATTGCCTGGGAAAGTCAAAAAAGTGCTGAGAAACAGATTGATTACCATTGCAAGGTTTTAATATATTTGTGAGTTTTGCTGACATATGAAGAGGAAAGTGTACAAAATAACATCAGCCTCAACCTTTTAGTCCCTGTTTATTCTGAAATAATTGCACACTCCATCAAATGAATACAAACTAGTACCTGTATCACAACTGCCCCAGACGCTTTTAGCAGGTTAAATCTTGCCTTAATTAAAGTGAGAAAAGCTACAGGAGCCTAAAACATAAGCTTTATCCGCTTGTTCAACTTATCACAAATGAGCTAAGAAAACAATGAAAAACCGATGCACTGATATATTCAGAAGCAGTCATTTAGAATTAGAGGTAAAATCCTAACCCTAATTAAATAACAAACTTAGTAATAGTCCATGACTTGTTGACTTGTAAAGTGTCGTCCACAGATGTGATCAGCTACGTAAATTCACTGTCATTGTGTTATGAAACAACTTCTTTTTTTCCTGTCTATCAGGTTTGCAGCTTGGCGAAACTATGACACAAACGATGCCTGGACTGATTGAGGGAGTCACATTATTTTTATCCTTGTAAACAAACAGGAAAAACCTGAGTACAGCTGAGAGGAAACGCGTATCAGTAACCTGCCAAGTGCAACACATAATTAATTTGCTTTGGAATTTTCTGTGTCGTCACCTTTTCCAACAATTGAGCCACATGTGGCAGTAAAGAGGGTGGAAGAAAAAATGATATATGTTATCTCCTAGATTAGTCTTTAAGGGCATTTCACGGAAAATTGAATTGTTCACTTGTAAAATAACAGTTGTGCTAATTTAGCCAAGTTTCTGTCTTCAGAAGTACCTCCATGAATTGTCCCTTTAATGACCTGTTGTTGTACCTTCAGAAGAATTATTAACCTGTACACCTGCGCTTCCTGCTCTCAGTCGATGATTAACCAGTTTGAGCAGAGACTTTAGATGTAATTCAGCACTCGAGACAGGACAGCATAACCTGCATCACATTGTTACGAATTCTACCTGTTTGACGTAACAGGAAAATGACAGTCAGGTGTCAGTAATCTCAGACAGGAAAGTCGATGTAAAACCTATAAATCACAGACTAGGTACTTCTACATTTGTGTTTGCTATTTTATACATATACTCCTCTACAGTTGTGAGTGAAATACTGTACCTTTTACTGCACTGCATTTACCTGACAACTTAAGCTTTATTATGATCTGGTAAGATTCCTGGGAGGAAAGTACAAACAATACACAACAGAGTATGTCAAAGTAGTTCCACCTTTACCCGATTGCATCCAAAAATATAATAAAAAAGCTGCTACAATTGGTGAATAGAAAGGAAATTAACCCAGACTTTTTGGATTTTAATAACCCTTTTTAGTCATTTTTAAAAGAAAAAGCAACATATTTTCTGTTTCCTGCTCCTCAGATGTGAAGGTTTGATGCTTTTCTTGACCTTTAATTCAAGTTGACAGAATCAAACAAGACATTTTCAAATGTCACCTCAATCTGTGGTAGGTTCACTCGATCTATAGAGTACTTCTGGTACTTATTTTCATGCTAATACTTCTGTCAGGATTTGGAGCAAATTATTTCTACACTGTAGTGTCAATACTGTAGGTATCGCTTGAGTCTTGATCACTTTAAACCTTGTGTAATAAAGAAATATATACAATTCCTCCTCCAAATGATGAAAAAATAACACATTTCTTAACAAGCTGAATCAAAACAAAGATGGCCACCAGTAGGCTATCTGTATATCAATCCACCACAACTTGGAAAACGTGAAAAAAAAATGTGTTTTATGATTCAATTGGTGGCATGTTTTTCACACCATTAGTGAGAAGCTTAAAGAAATCAGAACTATATCTGTTTTCTCTTCTAAATGATGACATTAAAGATTTTCAGCTATTATATTTCAACATGCTGAATCCAAACAAAGATGGCCGCCCATGGGCTATCTACATTGCAGTCCATCACAACTTGGAAAAATGTTTTAATCCTTCCATTCGTGCAATATTTTCACCTTAATAGTCTTTGTGGATTCTAGAGATACTTTAACAACTGTAAGTGTTTCTAGAGCAGGGGTTCTCAACTGGTGGGTCGCGACCCAAAAGTGGGTCGCGGACCTGTTCTGGGTGGGTCGCGGACACCTGGTCAAAATTAAATAATACATAATGTGCGTCTCAGGTTGGACTTTTTTTTTATTTTGAAAAAACTTTTATTTTGACAGGCATGGTAGCCATAGTTTGTTTGACGTTCATTTTAAGTTTGTGTTGATGTTGGGATGCAAGATGGCAAAGCGCAAATATGACCCGGAGTATTTAAAATGTTGATTTTCATACTAGGACTGGACCCGAATGGCCTAATAGCCAACTATTAGTTCGCTGTGCTGGAATCGGGATATCAATTTTGATCTCCGAATATTCCTCCCCACCCCCCAGACTTTGAAACTCTAATCAGGAGTAGAGCACGTGCCCAACTGTCTCATTAACTTCAACAAATGACCTGATTAGGCCAAAACTTTATTTTCGAGTAGTTTTCAAACACTGTTGGACAATTAACTTTCAGAAAACACAATGGTTAGCTCTGTGTACTTTTGATGCTAATATTTTGTCAGGACTTGAAACAGGTATTTCTACACTGCTAGTATCAATACTGGAGGTATTTTTAAATTGTGTGATGTGTAATCAAAAGTACATACATTTCCTCATCTAAATGTAAAAATAAAAGATTTTAAACTCAATTTCCAACATGTGCAATCAAAACAAAGATGGTCACCGTGGCCTATCTGCACAGCAATCCATCATAACAGGATAAACAAGTGAAAAATCTTTTTTTTTTTTTTTTTTTTTAATCGTTCAATTGGTGGAATATTTTTCTATCAGAGTCGTTGTGAATTCTGGAGATACCTTCACAACAACAATACCTAATTTTCAAGGACCTGCTAGGTTTCTCAAACATCAGGTCATTAACTATCCTCAAAAATACAAAAAAAACATTGTTAGCTCCACATACTTGAAGCATGTTTTGATGCTTTCAGCAGGACTCGGAACAAATTATCTCTACACTTCTACACTGAAAAGTATACCTTAAATTGTAACTGTCTACAATAAAAAAAATTTTTTTTAAATCTATACATGTCCTCCTCTAATCAATTTCAACATGCTAAAGCAAAACAAAGATGGCCGCCTCAGAGTGATTAGGCATTGCAATCTGTCAACAACTAGATAAACAACTAAAAGAATGTTAATTATTTAGTTGGCGGAATATTTTTCACCCTGACAGCTGAAGGGGTCTATGTAGATTGTGGAGACACCTTGACAACAAAATTAAGTGTTTTAAAGGACGCATACACCCATATCTTTGTACTTATCATTCTGAAAAATCAACGGTTAGCTCTGCGACTGAATGTATGCTCGCATACAAGGGGCACAAAGTGGATCTGCACTTTGTTGTGTTCTCAGTTTCAGTAACGATACTTACGGTTCTGCGTTGATACTCTCCACAGGAGCCACATAATTAGCGGGGATATATCCACTTTTGGAGGCTGAAATTCCGGTGATGGCTTTGGCAAGCCACCAGTCCCCGGGACTTTTATCCAGCGCCTCCAAAGTGTCCCCGGCGCTGAAGCTCAGGTCCTGGTCGGTTCGGGCCGAGTAGTCGTACAGGGCGATGTAAAAGTCTCCGGTTGCCCCCACCGGCAGCGGCGGTAAAGATCTGTTCGCATGAAAATCCGATTCATCTCTCCCCCTCGCATCTCGGTTCACAATCACCGTGTCGGTTTTAGCCTCACGCTTGTCTTCAGACTTTTTGAAACACCCCAGAAAACGCTCCCAACACGCAGAAAGCCTCTTTTGGATCTCCATGGTGCGTTTTCTTCTCGTTCGCTCGTCAATCACAGCCCGGCATCGTGCAGGAGACAGACGGAAACGGTTTGGGGAATTTTTGCTGCTCTCCTCATGATTCCATAAAAGTGCATTTTGGATAATCTCTCATTCAGCAAAGTCGATCTTTGACCTGAGCGCGCACACACCCAGTCCCTCGGAGAGCCACTTCAATGAAGAGTTTCCTGGTGGAGGAGCAGAAATCACCTGCACCTGCTGAGGAATGAGGAGCGGCTCGGTTCAGCCTCAGGTGGCTGCAGGTGAGTCCAGGTGCCCTCTGCTTGTAAGAAAACCTCACTGCAGGGATGAACAGGTATAGAGAGTTTAGGAAGAAGTGGACACATCCTGGAGTAGTTTGCACAACCTGTCCAGTTGTTTAGCTCCCAACTTGATGCAATTTCTATAAACTTCCCTACTGCAATATCAAGTCATACACATATAGAATAACTTCATTTATATAGCACTTTAAAAAAAAAAAAAAACAGAGAAAAAGTGGAAAAATAGAGTTATACATGATTTACATCAATAAAATGAATCAATACAGCAACTAAAATAATAAAAGAATCAAAAATGCTACATCCGAGTGAGAGAAAATAAGTGGATTTAAAAAAAAAAAGAGGGTAAAACCATAAAGACAAAGCTAAAAGTAATAAAAATAATAACGACAGAAGTAATTAAATAAATAGTTAAGTAAGTAAAGGGTAAAAAAGGAAAAAAATAAGATGAAAAATGGGTGACGTCACATAAAAGCAAGCCTGTAATGCATTTAAAAACAGCCTGAGTTGACCAAAGTGGTCAGGCAGCAACAAGTGCAATCAATCTGTAAAAGAGATTTAACTGATATAAAATATTAAAACGACAGGATGACGGTTTATAAGATAAAAGTTTAAGATCAAATGAAATATTAAAAAATACCAGAAAAAAAGATCATTCAGAGCCACCAAAAGACAGTGAAAACATATACAGCTTCAGATTTTTCTTTAAAATGTTCATGCATTCGGGATTTTTTGTTGTTGCAAGAGGAAGGTTATTTAAAAGCTCGATCTCTCCTTAGCCACCAGCCCAATATATAGTGTAAAAAATAAAGAATAATCAAAAGCAGAATAGAGTACTCAAACAAAAAAAAAGGCCTGAGATCCGTTCCTTACAGACAGGTGCAAAATACACAGGTAAGAAGGAAAGTTTAACAAGTAGACCAGTGCTTCCTAAATAGAAATAACAGTGCTGCTGTCTCCTGTACCTTCGTATGATATGGACTAACAGGCTGAAGAAAGCAATTGTTCACCTGTTCTTTTAGAGTAAAATATGCCAAAAATTTTGGACAGAACTCTGACTTTTTTTTTTCTTTTTTGCAGTTGCTGTCTCTGCTGAGTCTTTAAAGATGTTACCTCTTTCTATTATAATCCAAATCCAATCCTGACTCAATGATTATTTTCATCGTTTTACATTATTTTTAATTCACAAACTGAAATTTTTTTTGATCGCTCATGACGTTTTCACCTTTTCACCAGGAACTGAACTCTGCACTGAAATTACTCCGTTTACTGAGCAACAACAAAGGTATAATTACTGTACAGTTTCTGGAAAGCCATAAAATGTTCTTCCTTGAAACCTCCGGATGATTGTATCATGTGTTGCTAATCTACGGCTAATTCACCGGCTGACTTGAGAATGTTTATGGTTAACAACTATGAGGAAGGAGGTTTAAGTAATCAATTCCAAGTGCAATAATCAAATAAAGATGGTTCAAGTGCAGATATTTTATGGTACTTTTGTTAGATTACTTGATTTATACAACTGAAAGTCTCAGATTCTCTCTAAATGTGATTATAATAAAGAAGATACAGTCCCTTTCAACAGCATTTAAACAATCGAGTGACATTTGCCGTTTTAAACATTTCAGCACATGGCACTTTGAGGAAACTGTTGTGTCCAAAGCATTACAGACCTCCTGAGCATCAAACACATCATTTCTTGCATTCTGGTGAATTTTTATGCATCGTTTTGTGACTCTTTTGCACCAGTTTATGGTGAAACTTCTATTATTTTTGTAAAGGTAAACCAGTTGAGAATTCAAAATATAAAGTAATATCAGTAAGACTCTCTCATTCTGTTGTATATCTGCTTTTCTTAACTAACACACATGCAGACTTTATTTACCCTCCCGTCCTCTGTTGTGTGTTTTATTTCAGGAAGTCACCTCTGTTATTGTGCCTGCAGCACCTATTCATGTCAATGATAAATTAACTTGTTTGAATTCATTTAATCCGATTCACTTCCTTGTTAAAGCCCTTAAATGATGCTGGCAATGTTTTGGCTGCAAAGATTAAATATACAAATAAACCATTACAGTCAAAATAACCAATTTACATGGTTTGGAGGGTTTCTGTGGGTAACGTCATATAGGTTTTTCAAAATAAAAGGTTTTTCCACCTTAATACTGCAGTGTACTGATGGCAGTCTAAAAAACACAAATTCAGACTTGTGGGGTTTCATATGTAGTAAACCTGAGGAACAAATCCTACCTAATTCATCTAGTTTTTATTTCCTTTGTACTTATATTTTTTAGGAAGAATGATTAATAAAAGCTAAATCAAGTGCTTTGTAAATGTTGTGGATGGAGCTCTTGTCTTGACAGACGCATCGGGACCTACCTCGTACCAACAGGGTCGCTCTGTATCAGTTTGGCTGCAGTGAACAACAGCAGCCAATGAGGGATCTACATGGACATATTTTGTACATATGTATGCCCTCTGGAGGCCACATCAGAGGACGGCACCTGTGACCTAAAACAACTGGAAGAACCACTGATTCCTCAAGATGGATTGGGTCTGTAAGACATCGGTCATAGCTTTATGGGACCACTAACAGGGCCTGTTTCATTCCCAGGAAATAAAATGTCAGGTGACATGTAAAGACTGTAGGAAATTGCTGAAAAATAGTAATCAGAAAACATAAATGTAATAATAAGTGAAAGTTAAGGGATCATGAGTAAAAAATTATAAGATTGTAATTTTAAATTCTTACTCAGTCAGAATTATGAGACAATAACTAATAGACGAATAGCTTAGTTTATTAAGAGGCCATGGGGGGAACATAGGGGCCACTACCAAGGCTAGACTCTCAACCATGCAAAGCTGGCATCTGCCCAGTTGCAATGATACAAGAACACCCCAAATAAACAGACCATGCAATATGTGCAGTGACTAATAGACTCAGTATCATACATGTTCTTTTCATTATTAGTCTGACTTTCTGTTGCCTTATTTTTCCCTTATTTAAGTGCTCGGATGAGTGCATGCTTGCAGGAATACCACTCCTGCGATTATTATTGCAGTTAAACTAAAACTCCCCATAAAACTCCCTCTAATAATCAATAAAAATACAGTGATTAAAGAGCAAACTACATGTGGACTTCTGCTCAAAACAAAAAAAAGAAGCTGGATTCTTCTAGGCTGCTTTGTTCCCAATGAGTTCACTGTAGAAACACTCTGTGCACAACAGCTCATTAGAAAAGCATGTAGGTGAAAATAAGGATAAATTAGCTCACAATGAAATATTAGAAGATGCAGATAATTAGTGGAGTTACTGCTACTGTGTCACCTACACCAGTGATGCACAGCCCCTCTGTCAGGGCGGAGACAGTAGGAGTCCTGGTGCTCTGTGATGCTACTGCTGTTTAGTTATCTCAAAGAATTAATTGACTGTAGGTAATTAAATTATCATCACACATGGACATGATTTTTAGAGTGAAAATCATACATTTTCTAACTAATCTGTAGATGTTTGGCCTGTTGGTGAACTTTTCCCTCTCAAATACTCTGCAGCATCTCTTCTCCTCAGCTATCATTGTCTCCAAGATGGCGGCGCCCTGTACGACTGCTTCGGCCCCCGGCAACACAGCCAGAACATTGCAAAATTCGCCATCTAGATCAGAATTTTCTTAACACATACATGTGGAGGAGCATGCTGCGTCTGTGTCTGACTACATCCAGTGGTGCATGGAGGAGGTCACAGTAACAAAGACTATAGTCAAATGGTCCAACCAGAGACCTCGGATGACTAAGGAGGTGCACACAAAACTGAGGGAGCGCAATGCTGCCTTCAAATCTGGTGATGCGGTGGCACTCAGATCAGTGAGGACCAATCTGAACCATGCCATCAGGGTAGCAAAGCGTGCCCACAGTCAGAAGATCCGAGGTTTCTTCCATGACCCCAGCAACACCAGACAACTGTGGCAGGGCATCAAGACTGCGACGGATGAGAAGAGCCTCCTTCCCAGCTCCCATCCTCTCCACCTTCTACAGAGGGACCATCGAGAGCCGTGTTTTTGTGCAATGACAATAAAGAAAGTCTATTTTGAACACACAGATAACAGAAATGCTAACTGTACCTGTTATTACTGGATGAGTGTTAGACTGTGAACAAACGTCTGCTGATGCTCTCCGGACACATCATCAGTGATGTTCCTGGAATCATCAGAGGTTTTGGGGTGCTTCTTTTTCCTTCTCTCACCATCAACGTCCAACTGGCTGAAGGCTCTGGAAATTGAACTGGCTGTAGAAGTTCTGCATCTTACCTCCACTAGGAGACACTTTGCCCTCCATCCAGGCTGCTGACAATCAGTGCTGCGTATTTGCTTCCTTTCAAGGATCAGTTGATTAATTAGTTCATATTCGTCTTATAAGCTGTAAAACTGTAAAACTATAGCTGAGCTAAACTCAGTCAACTTGGGGAAAAAAGTTCAGTAAACTTAAACTGTTTAACTGAATCAACTAGTCTCATAGAAAATAGTTACAGACTTGTTTTATTTTACATGCCATGAAAAGACATGCCATTTCTATGAAATTTCTTTTTACATTCTTTTTACAAGTTTCTTCTTTATCTATTTAACTATTTTTGATCACAGTCACTAAAATCTGACAGACATCTACAATCAGAGAAACTGTGAGGCTGCTCCCAGTAAGATAAATTATCTATCTATTGATGTGGGAATTGAATTCAGTACTAAACTTTGTAATGGTTGCAACTGTTCTGATCATTATTATATATTTATTTTTATTTTTATTTATTAGAATAAAGAACCGTAATGTCATTGAACTTTATCTATTGTATTATATAGGTTTCAAACGCATCTGTCTTTCCAAAGTACAAAATCGATCTCTAGGGAGTCTTAACACGACAAATGCATCGCTGGAAGTCTTCTCATATTCTAGTTTTGTTTCTCATAAACGCAGTTGAATAAGCTGTTCAATTCATTCAACTTATCATTTTAAATCTAAATGCCTCAAGTTATAAGAACTCATGTTTTTAAGTTTTTTTTAAGTGATCTGAAAATAATAATAAAAAAAAGACATTTAAAGCTTGATAAACTAGAACATTGGCAAAGCTTACATATTTCCATTAAGTCCACTTAAAATTGCATAAGGATGCACAGCTGATTTGGACAACATGTGCTTGCTGGGTGGTGACTGTGATTTAGGATCTTCAGCTGGTTTCTAAAAACAAAAAAATCCAGATAACTAATTTTAAAAAAGGTAGAAAAAGGGAAAATATGTCTTTACTCTCACATTATCTGAGGTTTCAACTAGTCTTCATATCATAATAGAATTCCTGAATTTCCTTTGTTTGTGTGCCACCCCAGGATTTCCAGTCGCCCCATTTCCTAGAGGCGCACCTGCTTTAATCAAATCCACCGTGCGCCTCTACAACAGACGCTACGGTTTCCTTTTTTTCACACCCGGAAGCAGTGCCCGCTCTCTCTGTCGCCTCTCTGCCGCCTTCTTCTGGCACACGGGAATTTAACTTTGCGTCCATATGGGCAACTTATTGACGCTAACCGTGAAGTGAACGACCATTCGCGTTCGCGGGAGAGAGCGGAGCCGGTGTGAATCCGGTAGAGGAGGCGCACGGAGCGGCCACAGAGCGCAGTGACATTGACTCATTAGGAGTGTTGTTGCTGCCGCCGCGCACAAGTTGGGAGCGCTTTCCTCCCCCCTCTTCTCTCTCTCTCTCTCTCTCCCTCTCTCTCTCTGTCGCTCTTTTCTCCCCCCTCTCAGCTTCAGCTACAATGAGCGAATACTTCAGCCTGTCGGACTGCGATGTGATCGGCTTCGACCTGGACCACACGCTGTGCCGCTACCATCTGAAGGAGACCTCCAGGGTGAGTGTGCGCGGCTCCGATTCATCGCCATACGGTGGCCGTGACGCGTCGATCCGCGCCACATCTGGATAAAAAATAAATAAAAAAAAATTATATATATTTTAAAAAATAACCCGAAGCCGCCAACGTGCTCAGCGGTCACTCGTCGATTCCGGCTGCATGAAGACAGCAAAAATGTGTGAGTGCTGGGATGTGGTGTGTGTGGATGTATGGAGGAGGCTGGATGCGATGCTGCAGTCACTCTGCGTGACTCACAGGTTGAACGTCGGCGGTGATGCTCACACATACATGTCTTTAAATCTCCCCCCTGAGGCCTGCTGCCAGCCTCCACATTCTCACATCAGCCTGTGCGTTTTTTTTTTGGTGTTATTTACCATCAGCTCAGACCTCCAGGTCACTGCTGGAGTGACAAATAACACATAAATGACTGCTGCTCATTATAGCCCGCATCAAGCAGGCCTGGAGTTCATTTATGCCTTCTCTTGTCCCATCAATGTCATGCAGTATTAATGCCTGCTAACCCTGTTAGTGCTGTAGGCAGCTTATAGAACCCCAAAAGTGGAACCCAATGAAGATGATTAGGTTGCTGCTATTGATAGGATTACTTAGATTGCAGATGCATCTGATGTGTATTGCAGAATGAATTTTAATTATTATTATTTTAATGAGAGAAATGTTTTACAGTCATGCATGACAACTAGGGATGCATGATATATTGTTTCAGCACGGCAATATATGGAGGAAGGTAAACACAACTTTTTTTTTTTGCTGCTTGATACAAAAAGAAAACTTGCTTGCATCTCCTTTTTCATAACTGTTCTACAAGAGAAGTCAGCTTGATGTAACAGAAGTTACTCCCACAAGTTTTAACTTTATTCACAAGACACAGTTTTTGACATGCACAGCAAAATGAGCGATTAACACAAGAGACATACTGAAAAAAGAAGATTTGGTTGCACAAAGAAAATCAGTTGTATGGATTACAGAAAAGAAGTCTTCTTTAGCCCGATCATCCTGGAGCACAGAATGGTCTGACTGCACCTCATCATCATTCTGCGGGCGAAAAACAACTCTGACTTGTTTGTATTTCTGTAAACCAATGCAAATCTTATTAGATGGAACGAAGCCAAGGTCGCAGCAACATTCGTCCCCTCAGAAACGTGTTGTGAAAGTGTTTTGGTTGAACATTTGCACACAGGGAGGCAAGCATTGTCCATTAAATGACAGATTCCCTGGAAAAAAATCAAGCAGAGCTGCCTTACTGCAAGATCCAAATCCTTTGCAAATTTTTTAGTGTGGTAGTTAGTTTTTGTTGTTTCTCTGCAGTATTTTGAGATCATTTAGTGAAAACGACGAGATGTTCGTTCCTCTAATAATAGAAATCAGTCTAAACTTACTTTAAAGATGCACTAATCTGTATTGGTCCTATTAACTGTGGATTATTCCAGAATCACAGTATATTCCCACCAAACTCTGTAGTAACCCTCAACTTTTTGGAGCCATTCAGTTTGCCTTATTGTTTTAGATCGTGGGTCGACTCCTCAGCAGCATCAAGCGGCTGCTCACAGTGGTAAAGAAAACCCAGTGCTCATAATCTGCCTGTACTGTAACGGCATACAGACACAATAGAGACCAGCAGGTGAACATACAGTTGTGTAGCATTTAGCAGTTGTACTAAATCCACAAAACACAGCCACATTTGTGTAAACAACATGCACGTGGAAGCTGTGGGTAACTGTGTGCTAACACATTCACCATATGCACTTCATAACCCGATGATTTGTCAGAGGTTGCGTTTTTAGCTTGTTCTCTTGTCTTCAAGGTGCCTGAAATCATATTACAGCTTTAAAGATGCACTCCCTGATTTCGTTTTAACACAACACATGTCTTTCCTGCACGTTTGGTGCACTAAAACTCAGCTGTGAACTGTGTTGAGTTATAAATCATCATGCAACTGAAGGGCAAGTCTATCATTTAATCATTGTTCAACCAGATAAAAATCACCAGATGTAGTCTCAGGTTCAAGGAAAAGAGGAAAAACCTATATATTCAGTGGCACAGTGTTGCATTCCCTTTGCTGCTCCTGCCAGCATGTGATGATATTTGCTCTTTGTGTTTACAGCTCATCTATGAGAGCTTTGCCAGGTACCTGGTGGAGCATAAAGGATATGACAAGGACCTGCTGAATCTAACTCCCGCTACCTGGGATTTCTGGTGAGTCAGCAGCAGCAGCACTTTTATCAGACAAAGTGTGACAGAGGCAGGTATACTAAACACCCGATGATCCTTCCATGATTTCAAGACTTTATTCATACTTATGGCTAAAAGAAACAAAGCTTTGAATCCCAGTGTGCTAACTTTCACTTCATCACTGATAAACACGTCTCTTCTTTTGCTGCGCTGAGTGTTAGTAGGCCATTACCCAACCCATATCCAAGTAAAATCAATATTGACACTGGAATGTCATTCTGCCAGGACCCAAAGAATGGCCGATTCTTTTTTCCCTCAATATTCTTTTCTATTTATAAGCTTTTCACAAGCAGGAACAAATTACATGTACACATTAAGTAATATTGCATGATACAGGACATCTGCAGGACCTTGATAGACAGATGCTTGTTTTCTGGTTTTTAGGGAGTAAGCCTTAAGAAAATAGCTATATTAAACAATAATGAGCATAAAACATATTGTAAAACAAGCCTCCGTCTACATTTTTATAGCTAAGAGTAGTTTGTTCCTTGAGTTTCTTCAATAAAAGGGACTTACGTATTACATTAATGGAGCCTTATATATATGTATAAAATTAAACAAGAAAGAACATTTAACCTTCACAACATTCAGGATTACGGGCCTGCATGTTGGTGCTGTTCACAGTGCAAAGTTAGGTGTCCCTTCCACCTTATACCGCCCCCTTCCTAAGGTCCTTTATGTTTTCTCATGTTTAGATGCATTGTTGTCACCGTTCTAATTTTATCTTGCACATAAAATATGTAAGTAAAAGCTCTGGAGTTGTTTTAAAGGCTTATTTTAAACTTTTGTTGGGGCTACCGGAACATTTTCCACTACGTTTTGGTCAGATGTCAAAGAAGCGTTATCCTGTTTGTTTCCCTATTTTTAACATTTTGTTTAGCTAAAATAATCTCCAGTGGACGAGAAAGCAAATGTTGAAGCTGTTTTTGACTTTTGTGTCCAGTTTTAAAGGGCTAGTGGTGGATCTGGAGGAAGGAAACCTTGTGAAGCTAGCTGAAGATGGAACTGTCTTGCGGTATGCTCTCTCTACAGTAAATCTATTTGAGCAGTTTTATTGTGTTCACAGACCTTCAAAGTGAGTTTGCCTTTTATTTCTTGCTTGATTAGAGCGACGCATGGAACCAATGACCTCAGCACAGAAGAAATCATCAAACATTACGGCCCAAAAAGGGAGTGGAAGCACTTCAACAGCCTCAATACCTCGTTCACAAGATCTGGTATGATGTTTGCTGTCAGCTTTTACACAGACTTGTATTTTGTGCATGTTTCATCTTTACATTTAACTTTCTTTTGCTCTTTGCAGCAAAATACTATTTCTATGACAACTACTTTGATCTGCCTGGGGCTTTCCTCTGTGGAAGAGTCGTGGACATGTTGCACAAGGTGATGTTTGATGAGAAACCGTGGAGTTTTATGTTGATGGTTCATCCTTTAATTGGGAAACACAAACAGAACCATGTCTTCATATTTTTTTTTTGTCTTCGAACAGCGAGGAAATGAGGTGAATTCTGACTTTTGGAAAGACATGATGGCTGCCATCGACCATAATTACAACACATCTGCATTCAAAGGTAAGGATTTTTTTTCCAACCACGCACAACACAAAAGACAACACAAACTCAATACACAGATATTTTTCGTTTTCAAAGTAGAACTTTTATTCTGTGTTTTGGTCAGTAAGTGGTACATAACTTAACATATCCAATGGGACATAGTTGTTTTGAAAAAAAATGCAGTTTGATTTTCTCAACCTATGCTGTTTTGCTGGTCACAGTGCTTGTGAGAATGTGCTGATCTCTAATAACATATAGTACAACAGTTTTGTGTGTCTTTGGTATGTATATTACAGGAAAATTCTTAAAAAACAGACATTAATAAAAACAAACACAAATAAAAGACGTGCTGTAAATGTTACAGGCAGTTGTAGAGCACCACTGAAGAAATCTTCCAATATTGTTTCATGTTTCTTAAAATTGCAAAGGCACACACAAGGTGAATTGGGGAAAGGGATGAATTTGACTCATAAAATTTTGTCAGCTTGAATACCTCTGTTGGCCATGTAATTTCTTAGCAAATTGAAGACCTTTAAAGATTTGAATGAGGCAGTTAAACTTGTAAAACTTACAACCATATTTTTCCTTAATCTACAATCTCAATTTTAAATTTTGTAAACTGATCTGTTCCTCTGAGTAGTTCAATGTTTTGTAAGGTTTTGAGGTCTATTTGTGAAATCACGTTGAGGCAATCAAGAAACCAGAGAAAGAGCAATGAACATTATCCGCAGCAAATATACCATTACTCTCCTCATCAGGGACCTGAACATAGACTCTGTCACCTGCTTGCAGCATAAGAACAGCACTGCCTGACATCTGATCCAGGAAGCCCTTGTTGTACTCATCATAGGTGAAAAGAACTGGCTCCTCATTTTTGTAGAGGGCCACCAATGCATTGGCACCATTGACATGCATATGATAGCTAAAATAGTAGAGGCCTGGGACCTGGCAGGAAAACACACCACTATGGCTGTCATAATGGTTCTCACCATTGTACAGAATCTGGTTGAACACAATAGGGGTCGCAGCTGGAGGGTAGGCTGTGGTCAGCACAGCACTAAAGGCAGACATAGGAGCCTTCATCATCTCATGAGACATCAGAACCTCGTGGGATTTGATTGGCATGCTCTTCTCATGGTGGTAGATGAGCTCTCCTGGTGGACCAGGTGGACCAGGAGGACCAGCAGGGCCTGGAATACCATCATGACCTCTGGCACCTGGAATTCCAGGGGGACCCTGAGGACCAGAAATTCCCTTAGATGTCATGCCAGCTGGACCTGGTGGACCTGGAAGACCTGGATGGCCCTTGAGTCCAGCCGGACCTGATGGACCAGAGGGCCCAACTGGTCCCATGGGTCCTGGCCTTCCATTCTCACCACTTTTTCCTGGAGCTCCTGGGGGGCCTGTGTGTCCTTTAGGTCCTGGGGCACCATTTGAGCCTGGGAGTCCTGGGGCACCACCATGGCCTTGAGAACCCTTTGGACCTTGAGCACCATGATGACCTGGAAGTCCTGCAGGACCTACTGCCCCTGGGGTACCTGGTTTTCCAGTGAAACCCTGAGCTCCCTGTTCACCTTTGGTTCCTCTTGGGCCTGGTGCTCCTACCATACCAATGTCGCCTTTGGGTCCTACTGGGCCTCCCTCACCCTGGAATCCTCTTGCCCCCTGTGGACCAGCTGGGCCAATAGGACCAGGAGCACCTGGCTGACCAGTAAATCCAGTTGGGCCTGGTTCTCCCTTCTGACCAGTGGTTCCTGGAGTACCGGGAGATCCTCTGCCACCTGGTATTCCAGGTTCACCTGTTTTGCCAACTCCTGGCATGCCAGGGGAGCCTGGCTGACCGGCAGGACCCTGTGGACCTTTAGCCCCCATAGGTCCAGGCATACCTGGGGTACCATTCTGACCTGGTTTTCCAGGTGCTCCAGTGCCTGGAGCACCAGTGTGACCTTTTGGACCTGTTGGACCCATTCCACCTGGAGCACCATCTCTTCCTGGCATGCCAGACTTGCCGGGCTCTCCAGGATAACCAGTGGCACCAGGTTTACCAACTCCAGGCTTGCCTGGCATACCAGATGGGCCCATTGGTCCAACTGCGCCTGGTGGTCCTTGAACCCCAGGAACTCCAATTCCCCTCTCTCCTTTGAGACCAGGAATACCAGGAACACCAGGATGTCCCTTCAAACCGGGCTCTCCTCTTGGTCCCATTGCCCCAGGGATTCCAGATGGTCCAGGTTTTCCAACAGAAGAAAGCCCGGCAGGTCCAGGGGCTCCATGTGCACCAGGGGCACCTCTGGGACCCATTGCTCCAGTTGCGCCAGGTGCACCTCTCTCACCAGGAATGCCAGGAGCTCCTGGCTTTCCAGGGCCACCGGGAGTACCAGGTTTACCTGCATGGGTGTAGCCAGGGGGTCCAGCAGGTCCTGGAGGGCCAACTGGTCCAGTATGTCCTACACCACTTTTTCCAGGAGGTCCAGGAGGTCCCATTGGTCCTGGTTCACCTGGAGGACCTTGAGCACCTGGCTCGCCTGCAACAGCTAAGGAATACAAAAATACAATACACTTGATGGAAATATTCAGCACAACTCCACACATCATATCACAATGCTACTGCAAAATTGTATTGTAAACAAACCTTTGTTTTGAAGCATTGTGTGCCTTTTTAGTATATTGTGTAAAATGGCCCTTTGCCTAACCCAAGCTTTAGTATTTTACTCTATAAGACCACAACCTGACTTAAGTCACTGCTCCCTGTGATTGTGGGATGGGTTGTGAGGACAGTACTTTTCATTCCAGGATAGTCTTCACAGCACCACTGATCTGAGGTGATGTTCTCACAAAGCTTATGTATGCTGGAAATGGACCAGCGCACCAGCTCTTGTGCATTGCACCTTGACTTGCTCACACTTTACTGCACCCTTTAATTTTATACACTGTCCATGGCAGTGAATGTATAGTTAGAGGTCTGAAAGTTGTCAATATCACCTTGATGCATTTCCTGCACTAAACTAGCATTTATACTGAAACATATTGCTCCCTAATCTGTATTATGTTAATAAAAGGATACCCATATTCTATTACATAAATGTGAAAAGGAATTTTTCTGTATCTGTGTTTTTATGGTTTTTATAGTTTTATTGTTATTTGACAGTTGAGAAATGAAAGCAAATGAGGGACCAAAGAGATGAGGAATGACATGCACCAAAGTTTGCTAGTTGGGCTCATGGCAACCCCTATAACACTAAGGCCAATAAGGTATTCAGCTACTCTCTCTGAAATCAGTTTTTAGGATTTCATTTCATTTTATTTGTGAGTAATGACTCTCAAATGTAAACTCTAGTTATTTAGTTGTTGCTAGTTTTAGCTATTAAGTAGCTTCAAGCTAGAAAGAATGTGACATTAAATGCATCTTTCATTTCTTTTAAAAAAAGAAACCTAAAAAAATATGTTTCCAAGGTTTCACAGTAAAATCTTGTGTTCTACCTGGATTTTAATATTAAAATGGCATTAAGAATGTAGAAGTATCCCAGTCTCTGAACTGTGCAGCAACAGCATCAGTAATAGCTGCTATCACACAGCATTCTTCCATACACCATAATTCTGGATGCTGAAAGAGTAGTAGGACCTGTCAAAGAAACAAATCCAACAGTGCTGGCCTCTCTTTTGAAATGGTGTTTTGAGAAGAGAATGCTGTGACAGGGTTGTCATTTTCCAGCCACATAAGGGCCGTGCCTGAAATCCCACAGGGGATATTTATGCCAGAACCGGACCTTTTGGCAGCCAGGAACACCACAAACTGAAGGTGATGATACTGGCCGCAGCAGCTGACCCAGGATCTGAACTGCCCGTGGCCTGTAAACACTAAACACTGTCATGCTTATATTCAGTTTAGTTGCTTATATCCAAGCTCCAGTAAACACCTTCTCCATCTTAATTCTGCAATTTTGTTGTCATCTTTTAAATTGGGAAAGGAAAAAAAACCCCCAAAAAACAGCTCCACTATCTGCACAGTGCAGCGAAACTGCAGTAAATTCGATGTGGTTTGTTTGTTAGGTTTACTGTTTGAACTTTTGAGTGCATTTCTCCGCGGCCTCTGTTGTTTTCTTTCTCCTTGTAATTGTGTGGTGCGATTTTAATACCGCAAGGCAGCTCGTTAGGGCGTTCCTGCAACGTGGTAACGGCGTCTGCTTTGGAGATTTGTCAGATTCCGAGCTCTCATTGTCGACTTTGCACTGTGTATTTATGTGGAGGCACACAGTCAAACCACATCAGAACCTCTTCAAAAACAACACGGCAGAAATAAATTCTCAACTGTTGAAAGCAAAATTTGAGTCATTGTTTAGCTCGGGTATAAAATACACTGTTGGACATCATGCTGACAGTTACATCATAACTACTTTTGATTTATTTGTTTTTATGTTTTTTTAAATGACATGTGCACCAGCAGTTCTTTAAATTTTATTCATCTAGAGCACAAGTGTTCTTTTACTACCCCACCTCACAGTTCCAGTGATACGCAGCGGTTCAGTGGACCTGCTTGATGACACTTAATAAAGAGGGCGGTGTTTTTTTTACCTCTCATTTACTGATGTGTGTGAGTCAACAGTTTGCCAGATTGCGTGAGAGGGCATCTTACTGAAAGGTTAGAGTAGCGGGTTCATAATGATGATGACGATAATGACTTAAATTTGCAGCTTACCGAGAAATTGTCTACAAGTAATGAAAAAGGCTGCTGTTTTTGCAGGTTATCGCGATTTTCCGATCAGTTATGGTCTTAACTTGATTTGACAGGAAAACTTGCTTTTAGTTTCTCCTTCTAAATGAAAAATAAAGTCAATTATAGGCTGTTATTTTATTTTGGGAGATATTTCATGCCTTTATAACAGCGGTGATGGAAGGATGCAGCTCCAGTAACTTGTTCATTTGTGGATTTCTCTAGGATATCTCTGAGCCTGGCTTTTCAGCATTTCCAGTTTAAAAGGCGGAAGTCCCAAAATACCACCAAGTGTCATCTGGCCCTATTTAGCGCTTTTATTTGTCTAGATTTGTTTTAATTGTTCAACAAAACAAAAAAACTTGATGGATTATGGAGCTGATGCAGCCTAACAACGGTTTTGCAGCGCAGCCTGCTGTAATTCAAAATGAACAATGGGGTTTGACTGGAGTTTAATTATTACACTAAAGATAAATAGATGCACTTTTTTTGCACTGAGGCATTATTTTTATTCTTGCCCTCCAGCTAAATCTAAACCTTCATTTGCATTGGCTGCCCCCTCCAACAATTACAAAAAAAATAAAAGTTTTACAAGACGCAGGTGACTCACCATGACTCTTGACGGGGTAGGGAGTCTTGCTCACTTTTGGCACATGGTAGTACCTCTCAGGGGTTGCCTCTGCCAAAGCTAGGAGGACAAGGACAAGGCTTGTTACCCTTAGGTCCATCTTGTGAAGCTAAACCTGCAAAGACAAAAAAAAAAAAAATCCATTCATGAGAAGAGGCACTGTTGCTCTTTGCCTCTCCAATGACAATCAGCAACCAAAAGAGCAAGCAGGACAATCTTATAGCAGCATGGCATCCGTGTTGCTTCACTCCACAATAGAAATAGTGGAAATAGCTGCTTTTCTAAACTGTCCAAGTCAAAATTATCAGCTTTAAAATGAGCAGCTTTGGCCAAAAGATTTCACAGCAACCTTTCTGTGATTTATTTTTTATTTTCTTAAATTGTGTAAATGTATTTTTTGGTTCAAAATTCTCCAGAAATGAAAACAGACAAGCTGCTTCATAGCGGGGAAATAAAATCACTCTTTAAATTTACAGTCACAGGCAAGAAAAAAAAAAGCCACAGCACATGGCTCATTACACTTACACCAGCAGCATCAGCACTCTGTCACCAAGCCAGGGCTGCAGCTGCTGGGAATACCCCCCCACCCCTCCATCATGCACTAACCTGAAATCAGACAAAAAAAAAAACACCTCACCTGAAAGGTTTACGCTCCAAAGAAACAGTCGGGGGGGGTTCGGGGCGCTGCTGTCCCGCTGCTCCTATATCCTTTAGTCGTTGAGTCTGTCTGTCTTTCTGAGCGGCTGCTGCTGCTTCCCAGGGCACTGGGCTCAAGGTATTTATACCGAGCCGGTCTCCAGCACCGTGGAAGGATCTACCTCGCGTGGAAGGCCCTCCCTGCTCTGATGTCATCTTTAATGACGGGTGCCATGTCCTCAGGAGGCCTGCCACTCCACGGTGACGGTCCTCCCTCCTCTCCCCTCCCCTGTCTCTCCTCTCTGCCTCCCCATCTGGTTCTGTCTGTCTGTGTGGAGCAGCAGTGAGGGGGGATTCCTGTCAGACTCCCTACAGGGTCATAGTTCGTTTATTGATTTTGCCTCATTGGGGTGATCTGCAGTTAAATCTACTTGATCTTCAGTGTTCTTTTATTGAGTGGCACATTTTGATGCCACATTTGACAGTTTGACAGATTAAGTGTCCTTCTTTCTTAACTGCACAAACACAGGTGTTATTTTCTCGTCTAAAAACATCAAGTTATTGACTAAGTGGCTTATGAGAGGATGTTTTTCTGGAAAAGTAAAGACTGTGCGACTCTGACAATATTTTCCTCCTGTCTGAAGACCGGTGAGGTTGTGGTAGACAACGCGTACCAGACAGCTATTTTCAGTCGCTTTTGGTTTAAATCTGAAATTGCACCCATCTTTTAATGGATGCTGGAAAGTTTTTCTTTTTAATCTGTAATTTCTGGGTTCGAAAGACAGAAGGCAGAGTGTACTAATTTAGGTGCGTTTCTTCCCTCACCAGTCAGGCTTTTGATTTGTGTTCGGGTTTGAATTTCACGTGTTAGAGCCTGTCATGACGCTGGCAGGTTTATGTCTGTATATTGTCTTTGTGATTTCTGTAAACTGCCGTGTGGTTTCGGTGCAGGGGACGTACAATGCAGCTTTTAGGACACCAGGAGGCAGAAGTGAGGTTTCCTCCGAAGATGCTCACCTGCTTCGCTCTGTGAGGAGCCTCTAGTCTGCAGCTTGAAGTCAGCAACCAGGAGGAACATGTCAGTGCAGCGTTGTGGCTCACTGATGTGTATTTTTTGGATAATAATAGAGCTCTGCAGCACAAAAAAATAAGCTTTTATCCACACACTAAATGTTTGTTTGTCGATACAATCATCACGGGGGCATACAGTGATGATACGCAGTCAAATAAAGAATATCTTCCCTCGAAAAAACCCTCTCGAAAACAAAGAGGAAGAAACCTCAGGAAGAGCATCTGAGATTGACAATATTTACACCCGAGATGACAAAATCCCAGAATTTAAATATATGAAGGAAACTTCTGAGCATCGCAGGCAGCAGGCTTCTGGTCTAAATTTGTCACTGAGAGCATCAACAGTGAGCACGGAAAGGTTTACTGTGCTGTCACAAGGTTGCTGGATGTGTCTCGTTTAATAGCCACCTGCAGTTAAGATATGTAACTCTACATACACAGTAAAACAAACCGTAGCTCCACAAGCTAGTTCAACTCAGGGTAGCTCACGGCTTCAAGGCAGGATCCCTCTCTCCTCATTTCTCACCGATAATGAAGGCTTGAAAAGCCCCAGAAACATAATTTGACAGCAAAACAGCTCAGTTCATGTCAAACAGGAGAACTTTATTGATTCACTCTATTAACAGCCAAAACAGATAAAAGAGTATTTGAACTGGGGTGTACAGAGGCCCGGTGGAGGTTGCACTGTGACCACAACATCTGCAGTTCGATTTCCGGCAAGGGGTGCCCATGTTGTCACGTCCATCTTTCTCAGCCCGTCTTTCCTCTCTTTCTAGTTAAAAGTCTTGGTGGTTCCGAGTAGGGCTTTGATCAAAATCGACCCTCTTTTTTTTTTTTTTTTTTGTTCTTTTAAATGAGATCCGATCTTATAATTATAAGATGGGGATGTTATAATTACGAGAAAAGATCTTATAATTACGAGATCCTGGTTTGGTAATCATGAGAAAAAAAGTCAAGGTGGCTATCAATCTGTTATTTGAGAAGTCTGAGGCACTGTGGCGCTACCTGATATCATTGTCTGCCCGTATTGGCTGTCTATGGTGTGATTATGAGTTTGAATGTCATGCATCCATCTGTGGGCTATGCTGGCTTTGTCCCGTAGGGACATTGGGCGAGAGGCGGGCGACACTTTGGACAGGTTGCCAGTCTATCACAACGAGGCAGAAGACCAAGCACACTTAAACCCACAGCTATGGCCAATTTAGACTCATCGGTTTAACCTACCATACATGTCATTGGACTGTGGGAGGAAACCGGAGCACCCAGAGAAAACCCACAATGAGAACATGTAAACTCCACACAGAATGGCAACAGTGCTGCACCACTGTGCCGCCAAGATTGAGTATCAATATAAGGCTTTTTTTTAAACATATCATTTTGGAAAACATCATCTTGTGTGAACAGATGTAAAGTTTTTCCAGAAACTGCAAGAAATCATAGAAATACAGTGAATTCCACTGTAGACTGCAACTGGAGCTCCATTTTAACCTAAATATGTTTCCATTTGGAATGCTAAATACGCAGAATTAGTGACTGACGGTTCCTTTTTGCTATGTATGAGATAAGCCTCATTTTTGTGTTTGTGTGTGAATGCATCGCCCTTCTGTTATGTGGAGATTGCACATGGATTTCTTCTTTTTGTCTGCATTACTCAGTAGATATTCACTGGCATGCAGGCTGGATGTGGAGGTGAGCCGCTGGGCTGGTGTGGGCCGCATAGCGTACAGTTTTTGCATTATCTGCCAATCATGTTAATCCCTGCCTTTCATGCTCTGTTCGCCATCCAACTGGGAGTAAAAACTGAGGACTTGATTTTCATAGTTTGTTTGTTTGTTGCTATTTACGTCCAATCTGTTTTTAATCTTTTACTATAGTTCATGTTTTATTGGTATTTTGGTTTTTCCAGCTGTATCATCGAGCCTATGAAAATACTATATATGTATATATAAAAAATCAGATCAAGTAGTAGTTTGTGAGTACTCATTTATCAAAATTTGTAAGCATTCCCACTCTCTTCTCTGCACTTTTGGTTGCAGAATAAAGGCAAAAGTGCTAAAATATGAAAAGAATGTTACATTAAAAAAACAAGAAGTAGAGCTAATGGTAAAAAAAATCCAAGAAATTACGTCTTATGTTGGTTTTGGATTACACAACATCAGCCCGAGCAGGAAAATGTGGTGTACGACAGTAGATCATTTCATCGCATGCAGTGTGTCATCATGGATGACAACCAATGATGCATTAAAGGCTAAATCTGAACTGAAATGACTTAAGGCAAATCAGATTTGGCACTTAAAAAAAATTAATGTCCTCCTCTTCATCAGCCTTACATGTGTCCTGGTTGGCCCTGCCACTGTGCAGCATATCTCTGGTTTTGGATAAACCTTTCCTTCCCTTTTACCTTATCATTTGAACTGCCAACATGTCAGCAACCGCAGATGAGCGCTCAGAAAGCCGCGGGCATCTTCGGTAAACTCTTTGAATAAAATGACAGAGTAGGGTGGGGGTGGAGTCGACATTTAACAACTTTCTAAGCTGCAGATATGGCACTGCATCTCACCATGAAAGTGGCTGTGACCGCAGTGAGGCACGGCTGCTTTTTATTTCAATTGGATTTCTTTTCTTTTTTTTTTCTTCTTCTCCTTTTTTGGTGTGTCAGAATTAATGCCTCCCGATCTAAATCTGTCCATGGTGAGGTTTAATGTAAACGGCTACTTAGATTCACATGCCGGTTTTGGGTAAACTCATGCTGTGTATGGCAAGAGGCAGTCACAGAGTGTAAACATGTAATTAGGTGAAGCGATGAACTGTATGGAAAGCTGTCCTGATACAGTACGATATGAACTCGTCCGCACTGTTTTCAGACACCTCTTGCTCTCAGGGTGGGTGGTATTTTTGGGAAGGGTCTGTTGTAACCATTGTTTTGCTCCTCCAAGCATCTTAACATGCTGCCAATTCACTCCAGACGTGACTTAATGCTCCTTCAGTGGCTTTAATTAACTCTGATGGTGGCAGAGCTTGTCCCCCAACATGCTCAGCTTCTGTTTTCCACATTATCTTGAAACAATGTTTATGTTTACGTCACATTTGTGTCTCTAAATCGCTCTGAAGAGCTGAGCTTTGCACCCATTTGTTGTTCCCTTTCTCAGGGTTCATTGTCTTGTGCTGTTAATTTATTGTCATGTAGTGTTTTTCTAGACATATACATACATTTTATACATTTTCAAATAGTTGTTAATAATACTAGTTATACTTTTTTTTGTCACACAGAATAGTTGTCCTACTTTGAAGATTCTAACCTTGTTTTTCTACTTAACAGGTTCATTTATTTAAGAAAAGAGCCCAGCCCTTTCAAATGTTACATCTAGAGCCCAACCTATAATGGAGACACAGATATGTAATAACTACATATCAGCCAACATTCAATGAAATTGTTAGATTTTTCTGCTATGGATTGAACAGGACATAT